CCTGCAGAGTGCATAAATCCTCCACCAGTACATAACAGCCTGACACCCAGGAACACCTCCCAGCCACGATGACGCTGTGAACCGTTGGGAGCTGTGACTCGTACAACGCGTGGAGAACAGTCAATCGTGAGTGCATTAGAAATTTATCACTTTTACTGTACTTGGAATACTTCGATATCTAGACAGAAATTGAATCACCAACAATGTGCATCGTAGCGTACAAATAGGTTACATACCCTCTCTTATTAATATCTGAGCACCGCTACCAGCAGTGGATCGTTGAGATAATGAAAGAATAGTAATTTTGAAGGGAATAGGAAAAGATCATTAAAAAAAAATGGTTTAAAAAAGATACATGGACAAAAAATAGAGATAAACTGGCAAACTGGTACTCGTTAAGCACCACATTCTATGTGCAGTTAGGACCTCAAATTAGCAAATAAAAGAACATGAAAGAGTGATTGTCTGAAAGGAAGAAAAGACCGTAAGGCCTACTTGCTCTCTTAAGCTAAGATGTGCGCTCACCTTGTTATCCCATCATTCTTCCTTTTGATTAGGAACCACTGAACCACTAGTTGTGCTTCCAGCATGACTCCTGGAAATACGTACCATCACACCATCTAGTCAAATGCACTACAAGTAAACCATTACGACAACGATGTCCTTATAAGGTATGTTCAAAGCCAGATTCACCAACAGTGGTTATAAACTAAGTTTACGTTGGCACATTTAACGTCAAGCACATTTACTTTAGACTATGTTATGCTGTCGGGCTATCGAACCTTTAACGAAACGTCTGTTCAAAACTTGAAATTTTGACGAAATCAGGTTAAACGATCTCATTATGACTGGAGCATTTTAAAAAAAAGCACACTTACCTTGTTTGCTAGCTTTGCACTGCTTTTTTGAAAGCGATGCTTCCCTATAATATAACTATACAATAACCGCAAACTCCTCCTCTTCTTCGTCATCAGCGAATGGTGTCTGTGGAGGAGTTGGGTCGTTGTACATTCACGACATCTCACAATGGATGTGTGAATATCTGAATCCCTTCAATATCAACAGATTAAAGTAGTTAGAACAACTTTCAAAAGACGAAGTACGCATTACTACTTTTAAAATAAGGCGTCTTTTTGTTATAAACAATGGAAAACGCTTAAAAATGTTTGTTACTACTGTTGATAAAGCGTGGTTCACCTAGAAATTCTGATGATATTGCAATATTGCGCAGCGGAAGGGTGCTATAGTCTAGTGGATTTCTCGGTTAACAAATATATCCGAACAATGCAAGTACACATGAAACGACAGTATTCGTTTAGAGGTAAGTTCTACTTCTTAATCACCCGTTCACTCACCTTCTGTTAATCCTTCCAGTGTTGTGGAAAATATTCCTTCATCAATACGACTGATTTCCATCGTTTCGAATACATTCACTGAGTATCATTGCACGTACTGAACTTAGGAAAAAAACTCGGTCGAACATTGGAAAACGTCGACTGTTACTTAATTAGCAGGACAGCAGATCCATGATTCATAAAAAAAAATTCAGAATGCTGACACCAATGCGGTTATCTAGTGGATTTTAACAACACATAATAAACAGCAGTATGTCGTACTCACACGTGATATCACACAGATGATGTTTTGACCTCCACTGCAAAAGCGAACCCTTATTTCGATATCAATGGGTGCTCTTAGACGTGCTGAACTTGGTGCGATTTGCTTTCATGAACCAAGCTGAGTTAAGCGCTTATCGCACATCGCATACTCACGGAATGCTTGTGGCCTCAAATTATTTGGTAATTAAGCTAAAACAGTAGCATTAATGGCTCTAAACGCTCCTAGAGCGCAAAACAAGTCTTTTCAGCAACTCTACCATATTCCCAACTCTCTAAATCTTAGTTATCCTTATCCTCATTCTAATCCTATCTAGACAAAATACCAACAGAAACTCTCACATTACTAAGAAACACCAAATATTCTCGTTCTTCCTATATTTCTCGCTTCCCTAAAACTATAACTTGTTCTTAACCAATTGATTCATTGAAAAGTCTGCTTAATCGCACAGTAGTAACACATCGTTGATTTTTAGTAACCTGAAGAAAAAGCGCCTTGATAATACACACCACAAAAGAAGCCTAAAAACGTTCAACGTGTTAGTCAAAACCTAAGAGGAAATATTACGGTGTGAAATTGAGATAAAGACGATTTGAAAGACGCCCAATAAGTATGAACACTTAAATCCTTCAACACTTAATACTACAATACGAACACTCTTTTTATATGCTAATCGAGTAATGCAAAAGGAAAAACAACGTTATGCACGTATGCACGCATGAGCACAACCGTGCCAACATAGAAAGCATATGTTAAACTGGCGCATCAGAAACGGGGGCCCATCCTCTGGGTCCAACTGCATCTATGGGTACCAGCAGCTCACATTTGCTCTGGTTTAACCCCCTATCCGTTATGTCGGGACTGGCCGAAATCTATGGGCCACAGACCTCGCTCCTACCGACTGGGACTCACTCTGTGAGGAGGATCCGTGACTTGTTCATATCAACAAATAAAAAATTAACGCCTAAGATTACGTCAAAAGAGTGCTTTCATTTCTCCTTTTTGCGTAGTCAATCTAAATTTTTCAAAAACTAGTCAAAACAACCGCAATGACGCTGTGATATTTGCGAAACGTCCACCTTTGGCCAAATTTGAGCTCAAGACCACCGTTTCCGTGGGCTCACGTGCTATCCACCGCACTAACCGAGAGCCTGGCTTTTCCTTTTCCTTCGCCAGCTTTTTATCCTAATGGTTCTATCAGCAATCACGTGCCACCGGACATAGTCCGGGAAGGGTAAATGGGCATGGAATCCAGCTCAGTTGAGACTGTAGCCAAAATAGTGTATTACTTTTTTCTTAGTATTATTGAGGCTGTATTTCACATAATGCTCTGCTAACAAAGAGTTAGCGGAAGATGGATGAGGATGGTAAATAAACTGATGGTTGCCAGGATGGGTGGATATGTTCGTAGCTCACAGGAAACGGCTGTATTCGCAGCTTGGAACGGTTTCTGCATCAAGGATTGTAATATCACTAGCAACTGTGCTCGATATAACCAATCAGAAAATGACGTTCACGAACGTATAACAGAAATGGAAAATGTGCTAGAACCCACACCTTTTCTTTTATCCCCTTTTACCCCTTTTTCTTTCTAAGACAAAGGCCTATACATTACGCAAAACAAACCCGGATGTTGATGCGTCTAAGAGACCTATGCTTAATAAATAAATACAAAGCTATTAATAAAAAACCTTTGTAAATTGAAAAATGACCCCGTCACAGAAAGAATTTATACAAGGAAACACCTGCATAACCAGCCGTCCTTTGGTCTCGCGATTCGAGCTGGCACCAGTAAAATTCCTACCTCTCTTGTTGAGTACAAGAGCAGCCCTGTAGGTTTTGTTCGCTCTACAAATCCGTTGAGCATCATATCTTTCTTTTACAGTTTTTGTAAAAAACGCTAATGGTCAAGACTGTGGTCCGTGTGATGTGCTTTTCACATCGTTCATCCTGCTTAGGCAGCACCCAGGTTTATGACGTGTGCATTAAAGTAAGAAGAATTGTGGAATCAAAAAGGCCAATACTGAGTTAGGTGTTCTTTGTTCCCCTTCACTATATCCTCGACGATCTTAAAAGCTCAGTAAGGCCCTCTCTTCCTCCTGTTCAATTGTTGAGCTAATCCGTCCATCACGTTGACTTTAGAACGTAGATAGATGTAAATGGAGCACTGGAAGACATTGAAAATGACATCGCATACGAACCATGAGCTGGGTGCAAACCTCTCACTGAAGCCACCGATTTACTGACAGAGCCAAAAGTTCCTACTCAACCTTGCCACCAGGGTTCCTTGTAGCCTGAATCACAGCTGTTGTTATATGCACCTACAAAGTGCTTAGGCGATTTCGTCTGAGATATAGGTGGAACACTCAATAGTAAACCAGATTTCCCCTTATAGATATTCGACAACGTAGGTGGTAGTTTGGTGAAAAGAGTTAAACATAGGCGGTAAAAACTTGGAAAGACATGCTTGTAGCCAGTATTAATCACCACCAATCACCTACTTCCGTAAATGAAGCAATTTTCCTACCAAGTAGTTATAATGGTTAAGGTGATGACACCCGAAACGACCACTACTACCAACGGCAATCACTAACGAATGAAATGAATGAAAAACATGCCGCGTTCATGCAGTACATAAAGGCTGTCAATCTAAGCATCCATGTTATGCCGGAAAATATAGGAAAAAATGATTAAGAGAAAGCCTTCGAAGTTGATCGTTCGCTGAGGGAAGAGCTATGAATTCTATTTTATCGAGTGTCGTTAGAGGAGATTGAAAGCATATATTGCTTATACAATGGCTCAAAGTGGCCTACCGATGCATCGAGTCACGCAGACAATTCTGGTGCCAGTTTGCCAACTCCGAAGAGATGGAGGGCTTGGTGATTCTGGGTTCGAACCCGTATGTATTGCAAGGTACCTCTAACCACTGCGGTAAAAGTCCTTGCGAAAGAAATATATACTTGTGAAAGCAAAAGTACGGCTATCAAAAAAAAACTTTTATAAGAAGTGCGGCCTTAAGAACACTGAATAGATCTTCGTGCCCATATAATCATTTTAACAACGATTATAATGGGCATTTCAAAATTTTCTACGATTCTAACCATTGTATTGACACCACTTTGTCGTTCTACCTTCTGTCGGAAGCAAAAAAAAGAAGAACTCAGTGAATAGGATACTTATGTCTGCTGTTTTAGTAAGGCGAGGCTAACAGCAGCCGTTTCATGAACTTTCATGTTTTTTTAGATCAAAAGACCATTAAACGAAATTTACGACGCGAAACTAAGAGACGTAAAACCTCTCCGGACATATTAAAGTATAGCGAATCGAACGCCGTGAACACGACAAAGCAACTCAACACTAACATCAGCAAATAACTTTATTTCCTAGAAAGTATTTAAACGAGGAGGTGGGATTCCAGGTGATGTAGCCGACCACGTGAAATGTCCAATTTTAGCGACGGTTCTGAAATGAAAACAAGTCATTTTTTATGCTGCTAAAAAAAATTTATCCGCACGCTGTTCATGTAAATGAAGATTGTAGCTCGAATTGTTTAAGAATCCTAAAATTCTTGAAGCACTAAGTTTAAAATTCTTATGTCCTTTCCTTCTTTTAAGCAGAGAAAGCGAATAAGCATACTTGTAGTACAAATCCCATGGAATTCCAAAATTCGTGTTTTGCAAACAACAAACGCAGCGAGGTCGACGTCGTCTAGACTTTTTACTTGATCCCTGGTGGTCCTCAGCTTCCGCACGATTATACGAAGATAATGCGCTCTTACAAAGTTCCATTGCTTGACAAAGCGGCAGCTCATGAACCTTCTTTGGTTTCTTCTCCACAACCTCTCCACGGGCACGGCGTTCAACATCCATTGCAAGACGCATTGCATTGCCTTTAACACGAGCACAGAGAACGGTATGGAAATAGGCGTATCGCCAACCTGAAATAAAAATACGCAGTGAATAAGAGTGGTAAAATTCTTTCTTTAGGACTAACATATCTTTCCATGAGTTTCGAAACGGTACCTGTTGGAAACGGAGCCGTAACGAGAGCGTGGGCTGCACGAGCAATATGGAACAGCATTGAACTTGCGCAATAAAAAGACGCCTTGAATGACGATATTACTGAAAAATACTCACTTAGATTGGTACTCGTTTTCAGATATGAATGTTAATAACGTTTCTTACTACTCTGTCAAATCGTCATGTAAATGTCATTACAGGAAAACCAGCTATTAATATTATATCATTGTTACACGCCTCTCAACAGTTTACCGCCTCGTCGTGGCTGCGAGATGTTCCCGGGTCTCTGGCTGAGATGTACAGCGGGGAGATTGATCCCCCCAACAAGGACTCCCAGGCTGGCGTTCCCATCAAGAAGCTTAGCTAAGGGTAAACCGGTACCAGGATCCACCACCGTCCTGGTATCAAAATCGCATGGTGGCAAATCCCCCTCTGATCCACAAGGTCTGCGACTACATGCGGTGATGATGACCTGGAGCAGACTTTGGTCAGGCAGACCTCGGGACTCCAAAGAAACACAATGGCTCGTTAACAACTCCGAAAAATAGAGATTATTCTGGGGCCCGCATAACCAGTGAGGAAGGCCGTTCAAGTGTCAAGCGTAAAGTAACTATCATTACTACACGACGCTTCATCAATGTATTGAGAGGATTCCATCATTTTTTGCAGTTGATTCGTTTGCCTCGTACTCATCCTCCATTAATGCCTCCGAACTTTCATTTTGTATGCTAGTTCGGCTGTTGTTTGAGAATTTCGTGTTCTTTGTGAATGTCGTAGAATACTAATCGAGTCGGTTTTCCTTGGCAATCCCAGAGATAGCCGAATTAAGGCGTTCTCACGTGTATTGATGGAGAATGTTTGAAGAGGGTCGAGCCAGCACGCCGTTTCCTGGTAGACTGCATCGCTACCCACTCCGCTAGCTATGTATTAAGAATAGGAAAGGGAATATGTTTGTTCAAAATTCAGAAGCCGTTTGCAAGTTTTCCGCCAACGAGAAAAAATTGAAGCAGACCAAAAACTAGGAACTCTTGTTGTTTCCCGAAACAATTTACTACATCATTGCCGCTGGATATACTAGAACGCAATAATTTATAAAAGGAACAAGTGAATAAATGTTTACTTTCTGTTTGTCGAGATAACACAGAGTTGTGGCTAAGAAAGCTCAGAAGCTAAAACAAACTCTTCCAAACCGACATTCCAGGAGCCACGTATCAGTGAAATAAACTCAATGAGTACTACCAACAACAGCATTTCGAGGTTGACATGTACATCAACTCTACAGACTTGTCAATAAACTACAGACAAAAGGTGTTGTGGGTGGACACGGGTGCGCACAATGAACTCGTCCACTGTTGGCGGTGCCAACACTCTGTCGCTTACTGTCACTGGGCTCCTTGTTAAAACATTTTAAGAAACTGTTCCATAAACTTATCTATAGAAAACAGGCACATAGAATATAACGCTAAGCAGTAGAGAAGTTGTTTACACCCTCGAAAGTGTATTAAAAGTTAATCATTCGAGAACATTCAATGCCGTCAACTATTTCATGATTTCTGCATCATCAGGGATTCCAGGATTTTTCCTGCGAGAGTACAGTATTAATCATCATGTAGTAATTCTTCTTAGTAGTAGTTTTTTTACATATAGAGAATGTGCCAAAACATCAAGATTTGCTTCTGGTGAATTATATGGAAGCAACAATTGAGGTAACATGAAAGCTGTTCGTAAAAACGACTTGGGACAAATCGAATCCCTCCAAAAAGCGCTCGTGAGAAAATGGTTAACATAAGTCAACGACATGACGCTATTCAAGAATTTGTTACAAATAAGATTAGTCTAAAATATGTAGTATCTAGTTCTCTGGTGGATAGTTCCGGAAAAATCACAACAAGTATGAGAAACAAGTGAGGAACTGCACAGAAACACTGTTGTACAACATCTAAATAGTTGAATGTACAGTAAAGTCAGAAAATAGCATGCTTAATAGCTGAGAGGAAAGAATAACCCAAAAACAACCGCTGGCGTAATCCGGACCTGTGAAATGAAATCTGAACGCGTCAAGCAGCGTCGTATCAAAATTCGCCTGCGAATCAACTGGTGGACGGCGGGAAATTTCAATGCGATTTAAATATATGACAACCAATCGGTATTCCATTCTATGTGTGTGCAGCCTTTTAAAAGCAAACTGTATTCGCCTTGAAGAAAAGTGAAATGAGTTACTATCTAATAGACTAATTTTGATGCTAAACGTCTTGAACTCCACTCATTGAAAACGACATCCTTTTAATTGGAGTTTCAATGCATTTCTTTTAGGGCGCGTGTGGCGCAGTGGTCGGAAGCGCCCTACAACACACACATGGAATTGATCGCCGCGCTCATGGCTCACCAGGCTTTCCACCCCTCCGTGGTCGGCAAATTGGTACCAGACTTGTGTGGAACGATAGCAACACCTCCAGACGAGGCTAAATGAAGTAAATTGAATGGCGCATCTCTCTCCTCAGGGATTGATCAACGTCGAGAACTTTATTCATTTTAGCTTTTAAATGCATTTCTTTAACCATAAGTCAGTCTAATGTAATGTTACATTAATCTTTTGTCAACTGGACAACATTTTTTAGAGATCACTGGAAACGACTGATTGCTTCGGTTATTTGTAAAGTTAGTAAAATCGATTTAGCTAGTGTGTATCCTAAATTGCCAACTTTTTTTTGCCATTTTTCATTTTAGTCACTAATGTCCCTTTTTTGTCTAGCGCTCATAAGAATTCAACTCGCATATGTCTGGATATATTTCCCTCTTTGGTATATCACCATAAGGAAGCTTGCTGTCATTGTCGAAGTTGTTTTGCAACTCACCAGAGTCATCCGGGCTTTTTTTATTTTCTGCCTACTTATTGCATAATCTTCTGAACCATGAGATCAACCAAACCGTTCCCTACTTAGCTATGAGTGCAACCCCACCTGGAATATCTGATAGAATGTTTGAGTAAAGCAGTCCATATGTGAGGTTGGTTGCGCTGCTCCATATGCACTCTTCAGCACGCTACTGTGAACGGAGTACGATGATTTCAACGTACTACGTAAGCACTACATAGACATTGGTTGATCACATAGTCTCAGCCAAATAATGTACTATTAAGAGCTTATTGAACTTCGATGTGTACTTTTGTTAGCATTTGTACTATCACTAGCTGTGTTATCTAACTTTCACATGCGTCTTCTAAACGGGCAGTAAGATTGCAACTTATTCTACCGCTTAATCGCATGGCAACGCGGCGCCTTTCTAGGTAGCGGATAGAGGGTTGGTCGCAATTCACGCGAAACAAATGCGACCTCATGCTTTCTGAGACGTATGCGGGTCTAGGCGATGTACGAAATGTTCCGGCTGGCCTAATTTGGCAAGTACTTTCTCTATTTAAGAAGACCTACTCATGCATGCGTGCATGGATGCGTTTTCGTCTATCCGGATTGTACTGTGCGAGTCAATTCGGCCAACAGCCTGCAATTTAGTAGAAGTATACGGGAAGCGGTAAGGAGTCGCTTCAACAAATAATCTCTCTTCCGTTCCGAGAGAAACTGACAAGCTACCTGTGTATATGCCCAGTCTGCGTGTTCAAAGCTCAGCAAGCTATCCGCGGGTAGCGAATGCTAACCGCAGTGAGATATCTGGGCTTCATTCCCATGACCGCGATGAAGTTTCTGATGGTTTAGGGTTGGGTAGGTAGGGCGAATGTGAAAAGTCTGCTAAAAGCTCAAGACTATTCTAGGTTGCCTAAATCGAATAGGACTAAGGTGGCGATCTGTGCCTACAATGCAAAACCGTTTTGCATCTGAATCCTCCATAGAGAGTCTGATCATGCATGGAAGGAAAGACGTGGTACAATATCATTGTATTAGCTGAGACGAGAATACGCCACACCACCCATTCAACACCGGCTATGACACTGGAGAAAAACTGTTCCTCAGAAAATGTGACAGCAGAGCAGTCAGCGGGGTCGGCGTTCTTGTCAACACGAGTTTGGCCGTGAACATAGGTTCATTCGAACAAACCGAATCGGATGTTTACGATTAGAGAGATGTGGATCAATACCGGTCTTGACAATCTTCGTCTTCTATAAAGTGGAAGCGTTCTATGTAGATATAGAAAAGTTTTGTAGAGAAGAACACACATTCTTGAAGGCCATCATTGGAGATATGAATGTGTCGTTTTCTTGTTCAGCAATCGCGAGGTTTTTAAACAGCATACATTTACTTCCATAAAAACACAATAGAATACAACGCTAGCTGACGTTTCGGCAGTATCGCCTTCTTCAGAGCCGCTTTTTCGTGACTTCCAATGAGGAAGTTTAGAGCAGCTGATTATAGTTGCATGTGGTTGACGACTGGCAGTCACTGGCAGTCGGCAATCGTCAACCACATGCGACTATAATCAGCTGTTCTAAACTTCCTCATTGGAAGTCACGAAAAAGCGGCTCTGAAGAAGGCGATACTGCCGAAACGTCAGCTAGCGTTGTATTCTATTGTGTTTTTATGGAAGTAAATGTATGCTGTTTAAAAACCTCGCGATTGCTGAACAAGAAAACGACACATTCATATTCCAATGCCGAGGTTAAGAGAAAGTCGATCCTGGGAACTATTACATCATTGGAGATTATAACACTAAGATTTAACCTAGAAGAATGTTCGAAGAACTGCATATTAGAGCCCGCGACATAGAAAGAAACGAGTAAGGGACTTCCTAGGTTTTTCAAAGCAAGCAAAATAACTTGTAATTCCAGAAACTCCGCTCTCAGTGTTGGTCGTGCAAGTCTTCCTGTGAAAAGTGACGCGATGGAATAGACCACGTCATAGTAAATAGAAGGTTTCGCCTAATTGATAACACTGTTGTCCCAAGATTTTAAACGAGACCAGAACTTCTTTCGTTTAAAATTTCACTTGTAGAAAGGATAAGAAGCAGCTAAATGTAAAAAACGAAATCGCAAAACCGCTACAAATAGTGGTTTACTCACTTCATTAGTCGGCTGCTGGCAAGATGCCGTTATTGACAACATCAACGATTAGT